TATCTCATTCCTTATTAAGCCATTAACCGAAAACCATTTTCCTATATTTAGCATCAGTGATGTTGAATTTGATCATGGAAGACCGAAATGCAATTTCAAGCACTGTTTGACCAAAAGTTCTAAGCTTATCTCAAGCTTGATTACAATATCTCACTCCTAACTCTAGCGTCCTGCCCTAAAAGAAACATCACTCTATTTCTAATTACAGTGACCTTGAACCTGAGATGTTCATATCGGTTCTTACCGAGCTTTTCACAATAGCTCAGCTATATTCAAAGATTGATTACAATAGCTGATTCCTTAACTATAGTAATCGATCGAGAACCACGTGTCAGCCGAACCTCAGCAGCCGGGTTAAAACTTATGTCTTTATCTATGTCTGAACTTTTTTAAGAATTATAAGCAGAGGCAGATAGGGAAAAATTATTCAATATTTGTTTTACTAGTGTACTGTAGAAGTGTTTCATTTGCGAGCTGGTATCCATATATTGACAATTTAAAACATACAGCTCTTTATAAGATACTGGAAAGTAATGATTACGATTTTCGTGATCACGACAATTATGGTGATAATGATGATAAAGATTGTGAAAGCTCATGTCTAAATTAATACATCAATCAAGATATATATAAAATGAGCAAATTTATTGAATTTATATCCCCCGCGGAGTATTTATTTAAATATATTTTTCATGGCATGAACAGTAAAAACAAGGCAACAATATGCACATCTCCTCTTGGTATTGATGGTTCTCATAAATATCGTTAAAATCCAATCAGTAGTAGAAGAGAAATAGCGCGGAAACTGTATTCGGCTATATGCATACTGCATAACATATCAATGACCATTACTCTGTGTTGAAGTGTCTGACCCAAACAAGGCAAGATATGCCCCTCTCATCTTGGTATTGGTGGTTACCACAAAGGACGGACGGAAAGAAAAGGAAAACGGACGGAGGGATGGACAATGCCAAAAAATATACACCTTCCCATTCTATCGGTGGGCGATAATAGCCTTATAACTTAACATTTCATATGTTAATTGGTCAATTCATTTATGACAAATGAATAAAAAGAAGTAAGAAAACACGTAGTTGTACCTTTGAAAATTCTTCTGGCACAAACCAACCTATTCTTTAAATCGTTCTAAAACAAGGTAATGAAAGATAAGAAACATCAAGTATCTTTAAATTTTGTTCGTTGAGCGCCACCTTTTCTTGTTGATCTTGTTTATCATATTTTAAAAAGAAATTGCATTTAAAAGTGTTAAAATATAAAGCACTCATCGCTAAACGGTGTCTGATAATTGTTTTCTTATATGACAGTCTTTTCATTAACGATCAAATAAATCTTATAAATTTTTGAATGCCCTGCTGAATTATTATTTCAAATGAAATTTTTATCCATCAAATGATTTTAAAATAATTGTAAAGTTTTTATCTGCCAATAGCTCGGAGAGATTCGGTGTAATATGGTAATGTGACAAAGCTTAAAGGTTAATTAATACATCCAGGAGCAGAGAAAAATATTGTTGGCGACGCCGGTGAACGGCGTCGTCTGTTATGGAATGTTTTTTTTTTTTGGGGGGGGGGGGGTGGCCTATGGAACGAGCTGTTATTATAAGCAGTTAATGTCTTGTTTATTTTGATTCGTAAAAATCAAGTTAACAAATATGTTGTTATATTTTATTTGATAATTTTATGTAAAAAGCATGTGCATTGTGATATGATAATATTTTCACGAAATTGTAGGCCCAGTTTAACAGCTTGTTCCATAGCTTTACTGGCAATACTAAAACCCGGATTTCGAATATCGTTGTGGTCTACATTGATGCCGTATTCTTTTTCATTCATTTATAAATTTTAAAAATTTTCCTACAAGAAAACGTTCACCTGCAAATGAGTATTAGGCTTGTTAATTAAACTATTGTAAACGATTATTCTATTGATTTTATCCATATATCGTTTATATATTGCACATAATGATTGTTTTTTACAAAGTGTACCAGTATCCGGATGTTGAAAGCTATCCGATTTTCTGCAATTACTGCTGTCATATGGCCATCTAACATTTTATGAATACTTTACCATAACTTTGCATGGCTAAATGAAACTGAGACTGCAACATTTTATAATTTTGCTGTTTAGGGTGTTCTTTTAGGTTTCAGGTTTTCTCTATTTTAATGGGAAGTAACTCATGTTTACTAAATTATTTGTTCTTTTCTGTCTATCTTAGGTAACACTTACTATTTTTGTTGTATAAAATTTACCAGTTGAAAGGTCATCAAAGGCATTGAGGCCCTGAGAAGTGAATATTAATAAAATCTTTTACTTGCTTTATTTATCTAGTTTGGATTTTTCTAGTTTGTTCAGTTAGTACATACCTACAGGTATTCTGCTACAGGAATCTTCTAATCACGATGTGAAACTAATTATTATTTTCTATCTGTTTGTATATAAATTGTGAATAAAATAAATATGGTAAAATGAAAGTTTGAAAATTTAAGCTATGCATATAGGTGCTCATGTCCATATATTGAAACAAAGACAGGGTAACATCCTGAAGTTATCAATTTTAAACACTTGATATACAATGCATATGCAGTTAGTTATACAGTAAAGTATAATGGAACAGTATTTGTTACTGTAAGAGATATGCATCTAATGTTTAGACACCCACACAATCTTTATTTATATGATATAGACTATTTGAGATTTTTTTTTTACTTTATTCTATACATTATAGTTTTCTTTCTACAAAATTATGAATTTCCATCCAAGTACCAATGCTAATAGGATGTTACGTTTATTTTTAATTGAAACTTGGAATATATAAGTCTCGTTATGTGACTTGCGAGATTTCACGATATTTTGCACTACCGGGTACAAACAAAATCAACTATATTGGGTAATACTTGTATGCCAATGGGAAAGTAAAACTTACACGGAAAAGCAAAGGATATGTGGAAATTGGCAGAGTTTTTTGTTTTGTTACGACATGCAAATGGTTTCATTTTGTGAACAAGTATCAATGAAAGACAACTTCGTATAATTTTCAGGTGGGTGTGTCATTTCGAATCAGTTTATCGTAATAAATGTTGTAATATTTTCATTTCAATGTACATCTAATGAATTTGTTATTTGATACAACATCATTCGCATCTGACTTCAGACTGGTTAATTTGATTTTATCAATTTTCTATAGCGCTACCTGATTATCTCTCAGAAGTATATAATGTTAAGAAATTTCGGACAGCGCATATTTTGGATAAAGCGTTTCAATATGATTATCAGTGTGTTTTAGTTGAATATATTTTCTTCTAACTGAAAATATATATTTTCTTCTAACTGAAAATATTATTTATTATTATTATTATTATTATTATTATCTTTATAAAGCACAAACAGTCAAGCAGTATATAACCAATTTAAATTGTCATACATAAAATTCAATGAAATACTTTGCTCCGGTAGATATTTAGGCTGAGGACAGTGGTGAGATGAAAGACGTCAGTATCCAATGTAAATACACATGCATGTTCTGCTGTACAATTGTTTTGGTAAGAAATGTATTTAAAGCTACTTTAAACTACATCAATGAAAAATGAAAATACTTTTGTATAACATCCTGTTCTCGTTTTTGTAAATAATTACAGTGTAGCTAAATAAGCAAACAATATGGCATATGTAGTTAATTCATGTTTAATACTGTTTAAAGTATTTTTCTGAAGTAAGTGGGTCATATTTTTCAGTTAAATCATGTTCAGTAAATGGTTCAAAGAACTTAGTCACTATCACATTTTTTAAAGATCAGTTGTCTAAGCAAATCTACAAAAACTAGGACACCAAGAAGTGTTTCTTCCTTTTCAACATTATTTTTTATTCATGACAATATGAAAATGATTGAAATTTATAGCTGACCAAATATAATTGCTTTCAACCCATGATAAATTTTCTTTATATGCAGGTACATGACTTCATGGTTGGATTTTGAGTACTTGTCATGGCTCTTGATTTATTTTAAAGTGTTCACCACCAGATTAGAAACCAAAAAGTGATACCACCAGACATAGTTGAAAGGAAATGTCCATACACAGTCTTGGAGTACATAGTGGTAGAGACATGGTAGTCCAAGCTTCTTAAAGCTCCATGGCTTGTGTAAACTGTCTGACTGAATGGTTGTATTCTAATAAAAACTAAGGTTGAAGACACTTCAAAGATATATGTCAGTGGAAAAATGTTAACAACATATCTGTCTTTGTTAGAAATAAATAACCTGTCTTTGTTAGAAATAAATAACCTGTCATTTGTAACTTTGTATTAACTTTACTATTCAAAGATAATTTATCTTTTGCAAATGGCTGTCCAAAACAGTTTCAACCAGGCATCATGTAGTTTCAAAACAGTGAAGATACATTTGTTATAAACATACTTGAATGTGACAAGAATGGTAAAAAGATAAATGTTCTGCATTAAAATGTTTCTATCTTGATTGAGTTTCATTTCATACAATCACCATGATCATTGCAATCGTAAAAGTAATGTAATATATAACCATCATTTACATATCATAAAAATAATCTCAAAGAAAAAAACTTGTTTCTGAGGCTAGATGAGTAAAATTCCTTCCAGTTATAGCCTTTCACTGCTCACTGATACATTAATGTACCCATTGGGACTGTTTCAAAATTGTCAAAGTTTAAACAAAAACACACACAATGCTTTTAACTATATGTGTAAATGTAGTCATTGAAGAGCTGTCAAGAACTATTCATCAATATTATGTAGATAGTGTCTGTTTCGATTTCAGGACAGACAAAATTCAAATGACATGCATAGTTATTACTATTGTCAATGCTTGCATATTCAAGCAATCTAGCCATTGCTGTTAGAGAATTTAAGTACACAGTGATACTTATTTTGCAGATGAACCCTTATGATCAAGCACTGCTATAAATATATATGCCAAGTAGTAGAAACAAAAAACAGTTCATAAGTTTGATAACCATTTATTTTTACACAATTTATAGTGCATTGCTTTGCAAATATATCACACTGATTTTCCAGTGGAAAGCTTCAGGAAAGTACTTGAAATTATAATTAGTTTTTTGGAGAATGTAACTTTACACTGTGAATGTCTACTGATACAAGAATAAGAATATTTCCTTTTACAAATTTAAAGACTTTGAAAATTTACATGAACAAATTATCATAGAGTTTATTTATCATATTCTAATTGAATAATGGTCAGCTTGATATAAAAAAATTGATGCAAATGTGTGAGCTTATCAATTATAACCTCACAATATTAGAAGTAGACGATATATAATATTTTTGCTATTTCTTTTTCATCTTTACATCATAGTCATTCAATGTCAATATTTTTTAATTCAACCATAATTTGCTAGGTACCATAATTATTAACATGTATATACAATTTAAAAAAGGAGGAGAATATACCGGTAAGTGTCAGTGCCTTGATACTATTCTCTATAGTTAGAAATGAAACAATACTATTAAATTTTGTATAAAACTATGATCTATCCATCTAATTATTTAATTATCAAAACTCTTATTTGGGACCTGGGTTTTATTATACAAATGTAAGTAATGATATATTATATTTTTGCAATTTCTTTTTCATCTTTACGTCATAGTCATTTAATGTCCATAATGGCATATGACTATACTGTGATTCCATGAAAATCTTTATATTTGGTGTGTTTTTTACTTTGGTATATATAGAGTATCTAGTTTCAATACTTAAAACTGCAATAAAATTTAGATATTTCACTCTGTTTCTATCAATGTGGCATTAACAAGATTAGGTCATCATACTGTCAAACAGTATAACATCGTACCCTTTTACATGAAGATTTTTGTGCTGGATGTCATTCATCTTCTTCAGGAAAGTATATTTGACTATTCTCAGCGGCTTATATTAAACTAATATTTCACTGTAACTTTGTGTTCTCTGATATCATTCTCAAATTAAGGAACTGGAAGATGGTAGTTGCAATAAAGGTCTTCATGGACAAATTCTCCTTCATCTTTTTCCTTTTTATCTGTAGAATGAAAAATCAATAAATATGTTGTTATAAGTGTAAGACCTGAATACATGCATATTTCACTGAGTAAAACACTAGAAATAATATTAAAATTAGTTTAAATAAGCCTGCGATGATTGACAGAGAATTTCATATTTAAAGTAAATAATTTAAAACATTAAAGATAAACAACAACACATAATATATAACAGTCAAAAATATTGATCTTCTTCAATGTGAAACATGACTGTTTTCATGTTTTATTTACTAAGCAATTATCATGCAGTGAAATCCAAACATTATTAAAATGTTTTGATAATTGTTTATCTTTCCAATCATAACTAAAAATTAATCAATTATTTTACATGTATTTACCTATGATGTATAGATAATTCAGGATCATAGGCACTGCAAACAGTTGATTAATGGTCCATATTTAACAACAGTATATTCTATACCTCCCTGTCTATACATCTGAAATGGTTTATTCAAATATTATATTTTTTAATTCAATCATTATTTGCTAGGTACCATAATTATTAACATGTATATATAATTGAAAAAAGGAGGAGAATATACCGATAAGTGTTAGTGCCTTGATACTATTCTCCATAGTTAGAAATGGAACAAAACTATTAAACTTTGTATAAATCTATGATCTATCCATATAATTATCTAGTTATCAAAACTCTTACTTGGGACCTTGGTTTTATTTTACAAATGTAAGTAATTAAATCCGTGATAAAATGGAAGGGAAGAAATATCCGATTTATTGTGCAATGTCCTAATTTTGTATAACTTTAATATACACTAGAATGAAATTGTTTCTCCATTGTTTATTTCTATAAGTTGAAATTGTTTGAATAAATTTCTTACTTCAGTAGTTTTAAAACAATACTAAAAGCTAAACAACTAAAATTCACTACTTTGACAAAACATCCGAAACAATTGTCACTATCCGAAAATAAACTAGTTAAATAAACTGTATAAATCCATCTGTTTTCCGTCAGATAATTGACCTACCTGCATTTTGTTACCTGTGCTTTCCAATCCTTTAAATCTGAAGACGACCGAAACAAATTTAACTTCTATATCTCTCGAGTTCTTCGGGGTTACCTATATGCGTAACGGTAAATAAGTCTACCGATGAACCCGGAAGTAAATCGAAAGTGAAAGTAAACGAGACTTACGGGCCCTATTATTAATGTTTTGTGCATATATGTATATCTTAGTATCTGGATATATATAAATATGACTTAAAATATTTCTGTATTTAAAGCCTTACAGTTATGATGGATGAGGCTTGCATTTGAATTTATATTAAATGATTATACAGGTTTTGATTGGTATACATGTTATAGGTGTTTATACCAAGTCTTAGCTGGCTAATAATAGTATCTATAATTATAGAGTTTATACACTATAGTTTTCTTTCTACTAAATTTTGAATTTCATCTATTTATAGTACCAATGCTATTGTTAATGTTAGGATTTCTTATTTATTAAATAGAAACTGGGAATTGTTAATCTTAAGTGCATACATGTATATCTAAGTATATGGATATGATGAGACTTTTAATATTTCTGTATTTAAAGAGTTACAGTGATGACATTATTATTAGAGTGATGAATGACTTTCATTTAAAGTTATAAATGATAATACATGTATTGATTAGTATACATGTTAAAGGTTTATACCAGTGTTAGCTCGCTAATAATAATATCTATAATACAGTAAAGGAATCTTAGCCTGGATGCTGTGGTGAGATTTGGCAGGTTACATACTGACCTTTCCAGAATTAAGGTAAATTAGTGTCCAATACTAGTGATGGCATGGTCCATGGTGTAATTCCATCGGACAGTTGCATGGCAATATAGATATATATTCCACACTCTCTGTGCTAGTAGGTCAGTACTGGAACTTTAAGGGAAGAAAAGTCCTTAAATTTGGATCAAGCTTATAATTTATAAAGTCTCAAAAATCATATTCTGAATTGTTATTCTTTTTTTCAACATGTGCATAGTTTGATAAGGACAGCTTTTATCTTATCTATTTGTAATGGAGGGACACCGGTCTCAACCTCCAGGTCTCTAGAGTCAACCCAACTACAGACTTTTCATAGAATAGATTGTTTCTTGCTCTTGAATAAATTTGTGCATTAAATTTTGCAGTGGGTGATTTGTGCCACATGAAAACCGACAAAGTACAAAAGGTAACCGGGTGCCAGATGAAAACATAAAAATACAATCTACACCAAAGTGGTTCTTTTGTTGCTTTTTTATGTTTTTTTCCGGTGCCCCTTGATGCATAATAACAATCAGCCTCCATAAAATTTCTCATAAAAAAGGTTAGTTTATTTTATCTACAAGTAATAGTTATAGTACATGAAAAGAGTTAGTTACGAGGAAATAATACTGGCTGGGGCGTTATCAAGGAATTTTCTGCTAAAACAATGGCGAATTTCGAGCTCGAGTTGAATTTCGAGCCAGCTCAAAGATCGAAATTCAAAATTTAAAATCCCGAATTTCGAGCTGGAGATGAATTTCGAGCTAGCTCGAAGATCGAAATTCAAAATTTTCAAAACCAAAATTTCGAGCTGGAGATGAATTTCGAGCAAGCTCAAAAATCGAAATTTAAAATTTTCAAAACCCGAATTTAGGCCTGGAGTTGAATTTCGACCTAGCTCGAAGATCGAAATTCAAACTTTTTAAATCCCGAATTTCGAGCTGGAGTTAAATTTCGAGCCAGCTCAAAAATCGAAAAATCAAAATTCAAATTTTTCAAAACCCGAATTTCGAGCTGAAGTTGAATTTCAAAACAGCTCGAAGATCGATATTCAATCTTTTAAAATCCCGAATTTCGAGTGAAGTTGAATTTCAAACCAGCTCGAAGATCGAAATTCTAACTTTTAACATCCCGAATTTCGAGCTTGAGTTGAATTTCAAGCCAGCTCGAAGATCGAAATTCAAAATTTTCGAAAGCCGAATTTCGAGCTTGAGTTTAATTTCGAGCCAGCTCAAAAATCGAAACTCAAAATTTCCAAATCCCGAATTTCGAGCTAGAGATGAATTTCGAGTTAGCTCGAAGATCGAAATTCGAAATTTTCAAAAGCCGAATTTCGAGCTAAAGATGAATTTCGAGCCAGCTCGAAGATCGAAATTCAAAATTTTCAAAACCCGAATTTCGAGTTTGAGTTTAATTTCGAGCCAGCTCGAAAATCGAAACTCAAAATTTTCAAAACCCAAATTTCGAGTTGGAGTTGAATTTCGAGCCAATTCGAAGATCAAAACTCAAACTTTTCAAATCCCGAACTTCGAGTTAGAAATGAATTTCGAGCCAGCTCGAAGATCGAAATTAAAAATTTTCAAAACCCGAATTTCGAGCTGGAGTTAAATTTGGAGCCAGTTCGAAGATCGAAATTCAAATTTTCAAAAACCCGAATTTCGAGCTGGAGTTTAATTTCGAGCCAGCTCGAAGATCGAAATTCAAAATTTTCAAAAGCGGAATTACGAGCTTGAGTTGAATTTTGAGCCAGCTTGAAGATCGAAATTCAATTTTTTTAAATCCCGAATTTCGAGCTGGACATGAATTTTGAGCCAGCTCGATGATCGATATTCAAAATTTTCAAAACCCGAATTTCGAGCTGAAGTTGAATTTCGAGCCATCTCGAAGATAGAAATTCAATTTTTTTTGAAAACCCGAATTTTGAGCTGGAGATGAATTTCGAGCCAGCTCGAAGAACGAAATTCAAAATGTTCAAAAGCCGAATTTCGGGCTGTGTTAGGGTCATTGTAAGCGCCACCTGCCTAAGTGCGCCACCTCTGGACATCCCTTATGTAAATTACTATATATTTGTCTCTTATAAGACGGCCACCTGCTCAACGCAACCAACAGCCACCAATTTCCATCCCCAAATGGCCAAAATAACCAGATCAAACGGCCAGTACAAGAACGTTTGTCGCCATGTTGGATCCAATATTTTTTCTGTACCATACCGTGTTCGTACCGTTTTACATTATTATTTCCAGAAGTCGGTAAATTTGTTTGTAAGTTTAAAAAATAACTTGTTTAAAATGTGTTTCGTTTGAGTAAATTGTTTTTTATATACATGTATTTTCGAAAGTAAACGAAAGAAAAGTGAAATTATAATTGTGCGTAGCATTTTTTTGTTTTTGAATTAAACACATTAACTTAATCTAACTGCAAAGCAACATCTAAGCTGTCCAATTGATTAATTTGAATCTATACCTTTCAATGTCTGATAATCGCTAATCCGATTGTTTTGAAGACGTGTCAACATACATGTGTAATATGATCATGCTATCAATCTAATACACGCCGCGGGTCATGACCTTTCTTTGTTTGCATAATCATCGTCACATAAAACGTATAGTGGTTGCTATTTATTGTCTCAAATCAAAACGTTACTCGGCAAATTTCTTCGTTTGTATTTAGAATAACTTGTTTTTAATTTCCTTTGTGAATGAATAAAACGTAATTGATATATTTTCCTAAAGTTTATGGAGTTGAAAGAAATTTAATTGAAAATCGATTACCGAGCATAGTTAACTTTGTATGTCTGACGTTTTAACAATAATTCTAGACTTTTTTAAACAAAAATAAGGTGCCAAATTACTTTTACTATACAATGAACATTTTAACACTTTTTATCAATTACATGTATATGTTCTTTTTACATTAGATTTTCAGTATTACATATTAAATTCTATGATTTAAATGTTTTTTTTAAAAAAAAAAAACATTGCAAATCATTGTGTTTTACGTCATATCTAAAAAAATA